ACTGCTGAAACAACTTCAGGCAGGTGGCGATGTGACAAAAAATTCACAGTCCTGTTGTTTTCTCGTGACTACTGAGAGATGTGTCCAGCTGAGAGATTGTGTCCAGCTTTATTATCTGAGTGCTGGTAAGAGAAATACTCACTTCAAGTTCTGGTCCAGTTCATTCCGGAAGTGACTAAGTGCTGTTGCCATCTGATAATTACATATGTGGATCTCTTCATTTCCACTTTGCTTTTTGTTCTTTTAACACATCCCTGCCCCTGGCACAACCACCAATAAATGAGCTGAAGGAGACTCTGAGCAGCAGTTAGCAGGATGAGGCCTGATGTCCAAATACACAGTAGATGACTGTCTCCAGCATGTACAAGAGGCATCGGGGCACTGAACACAGTTTCTAATGCAACAAGGTTGCTTCAAACTTTCAATTTAAAACTCTATAAAAGTCTGAGAACAAATCTACACTTCAGAGTCACTGGCAAAGCTCTCAAATCATTTTATCTGGTTTCCTAAGCAGAAATGCTTGAGCAATCTTGTGCCCTATACCTTCTTCTTGGTCTCTTTCTGATTTGTTTGCCAGCTTCAGATCAGCCTTGTCAGAGGTTTCAAGGAAAACCAGGCTCCTAAAGTTGTGCGAGGGCAGGCATCTGGCCTCAGTACCACGGCTGAGCAGAGCCAGTCATTGTACACAGAAGATCCTCCAAGTGCTCTGAGTACAGCTGAACTTTGCAGGCAGCTTCCGTTAGAGTCACCCCACCACAAATTAAGGGAAAAGTTGCTCAATCTAAGGGCTGACAACTGGTGGGGACCATCTGTTGAGCGCTGAAGTAGCTGTCAGCAAACATCAGCACCATCACAGGGTTGTGCTGGTTTCCTGCCGCAGACTTACTGGGCTGGTTTACTCCTTAGGGCACAGGAAGGCAAATGCCAAAGCAGCTCCAATGGGCATCTCTCTGCCTGGTGTTTTAATCGAAGCGAAGGAAACTACCTGCAGGTACTTCTGGTAGGATGGCTGTCAAATAACAGGTGCAAAGATGCTCAGCTTTCAGCCCCACAATATAACACAGCACCATGTCTCGGAGGCAGCATCAGGGAGAGAGGAGTTCAGTGGCACTAAGTTATCTCCACGGGGACTTTCTCAGAATTCATACCAATGTCAGGAAGTCAAAGCAGTCCTAATGACTCTTGTCTGCATCAAAATAACTCTCCTTCAAGAAGCAAGTTGGGCAAAGCAAGTCTAGCACTGCTCTTGCTGAGACACCTGCCTGGTAGGAGTTTTAACCAGGCTAAGTTTCCACCATAGGAAAGACTCGGGAAAGGTGCTGACACGGTCATGTCCAGGCAAGCAACGTCAGCCTGCTCAGAGAGCAGTTCATAGAGGGGAACAACCGTCCAACAGCAGAGTTCAGATAAACTCGGAGCAGCTTTGCCAACAGGAGTCTTGCAGCTGAATTGCAAATCCCAGCTCCATACCACGTTGTAATGACATTTTAAATTTTTTATTACCATGTCATAATGGTAATTAAACACAGGCATGCGCACAGAGAGAAACCTGCTTGATATATAGGGCAAGGCTCACCATCTGCAGGCAGCAGCCAGGACCTGCGGGCTCAGCTATGGGGCTGCAAAAGTCACAAAGCCATCAACACCATGGTGACCACGTATGAAAAACTAGGCAGCTATGTGTAATTTCTGTATCTACCTGCACTCAACAATGCAACCAGTGGTTGGGGGCTTGCAGCATCAGAAGGCGTAATGCCACTGCTGTCTTTGCAGTTCTGCTGCATTGCTGATGCACACAGAACTAACTCCTCTCTCCCTCCTGGAAAGGGAAAGCGGTGGTTTCTGCCCATCCCCCTGCGCAGCAAGACAGAAATTACGTCAAGGAGACAGTGGAGCATAGTCTTTGACGTGTGGTTAACTCTTGGCATCTATGTTTAAGTTCCCAACAAGGCTGCCCATCACTTCCAATTATAATGATTTTTATGACTAATTATGTGCGTTTAGCAGTCTTTGTTTCCTGGCCAGTCCTGTGCTGCTTCTATTCAATTGCACCCTACCCCAGAAGCAGGGAGCCTCGTAGACTGAAGCTGAGCTTTTCAGCCCTGGTATGACTGAAGATGTTCTGGTTCAGTTTTAAGCCCAAGACCAACCTGGCTCGTTAGCTTCCAACCTGCTGAAGCCAGCTTATGTGGAGAAAACTAAAGTGGATGAAATAGAGACAGCCTGTCTCCAAGTATCTCCTTTCCCTGTACCAGAGCACACCACCACTTGGAGTCTCAATATTGTTCACTGATTCTGATTCCTACATCTGTCATGAATGATAGGTGACATGGCAGAGGAGAGGGAGGGAGAGGATGGACAGAAGAGCACAGTATGGCACTATGCTTTGGGTCCCAGGAGGCCTGTGGGGGAACAGGTCCAACAGACACCAGTTTTCAGCTGGACCACTCTCCTGGACCAGAACCAGACCATGTTTTGGTTTGGTTCTTGTTTGGATTAAGAAATTTAAAATTCAAACCAAACAAAAAAACCCCAAACCAGACTCAGTTCCTGCCCGAGGGGAAAAAAAGCAACAGTCCCAACTGACTTGCAGTTCAGTGCTGTGCTGTAAGCTCTCACCAGGCAGCAGTGTCTGTCTGCTCAGGGCTCTGGTCATCTGAAAGGCTCCTTCCATTTTGTCCAGTTCTGTCCACAGGCAGCTGTTACTGGGATACACACCTGCTCCACTAAACCTCTTGCCCTTTGACACCAGACAACCTGCATGTCAAACTGTCTTCTGTTTGCCTCAGCTGAGAACTGGCCACCAAGAGAGAAATCTCTATACCTAAATACTAATTGTATTTTGAAATCTGTGATCTGTTTCTGGCCCAGGGAATGAGCCCAGCGGGATCCAGAAGGGAGCCCCAAGACAGGTTTTAACAGACCTATCGTGCCACATGCATACCCCCTCATTGCCCTTCTCTCCTGCTTCTTGGGGTGCCACAGAAACCCACAGCTGTGATCTCAGGAGCATGTTCAGAGTAATAAAAAGCACCCCCGGGGATCTGGAAGTGTAATTACCACCTGCCCATTGTCCTCCCCAGTGCATAACCTAGAGCGAGCACAGACCCCAGACAGCGTCACACTTGTAGACTAGTCATGGAGTGATCTTCACTGCACCACATAGCAAGAAACAGCTCCTGCCTCAGCCTGCCTGTAATCTTCACAGATAATGGTTTTTATTAGTTGCACCCACATATAGCGGGCAACTGATGATCTTTCCTGAAGCAACAAGGTGTTTCTGCAGCACAGAGAAGCCACCTCCCCCAGTGCAATTAAATGCTATGCTTGCCACCAAGGTGGGATTTCATTAGCTCATTTCCCTTCCCAAGGGCCAAGTCTTGGACACCACAGTGGCCAGCCTCAGCTGGCTCTGCCACACCCCTCCTGGGGTGGGGATACAAAACGTTGGGGAGCTGCCCCCTGCAAAACTTCTGCAACAAACTAGAGGTGTGCTGGTGATGCTGAGATGCAAAAGAAGTGGCCACCACACATTTGATTGCCCATGACCCCTGAGGTTCAGAGTAAAAACTGTTTGGCAACCAGTCCTTATGCAGCTCACATGAGTCTGGAGGGAGGCACTGCCCTCTGGTTAAGTCCCCTCTGCTTACACACATCTCCTCACACAGGGGCCACATTACCAGCTGAGGACCAGTCGAATCTATGGGACTACTAGTCCCAAGTGCAGTGAGAGAAGCAGAACAAAGATGAAAGAGGATGTGGGCCCTGGCAGCCTGCTATTCCAGCTGAATATTGCAAGGAACAAATGCAAAAGCCAAAGGGACAGGAATTGTGGCATCAAGTACCTTTCAGATGATAACAAAAAAAGAAGAGCCTAAAAATTGAGCACAAGAGATTCACAGTCCTAGGGGAATATGAGCTTGTATCTAATACCAAGTGATTTTTCTGTTGCACAGTTCATTTTAGGACAACGCTCACCCTCGCATTGCTAGTCCCACAGCCTGAGGCTGCTCCAGATTTAGGCACCTGACTGTTCAGGAACAAACATTTCTGTTTGTGAATAATTCAGAACCCCTTGTTTATTTAGGTTCATTTGGGCTCTGTTTCTTGCTGTTTGAATCTTCTGAGCCTCCAGCTAACTGGGCTGCGGATGTACAGCCCCTCTCTGCAGCCCCTCTGTTTCTGTAAGGGAACCATCAGTTTTACCACTAACTCCCACATACTTGAAGCACATACAGCACTTGCAGAGCAAGCATAACCCCCGTAACATAACCCCAGAAAGCTCAGGCATTCCCCTTGCTGTTCATCTTGCTGCAAAGCGAGATTGCTTTCTGCTTTGAGATGCACATTTGACAGTAGCTCCATCAGAGTGCTACGCATGTGAGTAGCTCTTATGTCACAGTGGCAAGCACATCCAGACCTATAGCTCCAGTCTTAAATCAAAATAGACATGGGTATCTGGTGCTCATGGACACAGCCACCCAGCATGCACTCACCCGTCAACAGGAACGTTTTAACTCGGACAAGCAAATGTACCAGCTGAGCTGCAAACAGGCACAACTCTGCAAGTGCAAAAAGCAACAGCAAAGCCCCAGCAAGTTACATTCTGAATAGTGTCAGCATCTTGCGATCTCAGATGTGAAGCATTTCACTGCCTAAGCACAGGCATCTCTCCAAAAGTGTTATTACCTCTATTAAGGGAAAGCTATTGTGGGTTAATCACAGCGTATTCTTAATTGTGTTTCAGACACATTAGAGGAAACTGGAAAACACTACAAACAAGTTACAGAGCTGTTTCACAAAGCAGCAATACCCGACACGGTTCTGTTTCAGGCAACATGCTAACTGTGCAGAGTAGCCCTGTGCTTGCTTGAGGTACCATCGCCTGCACCCACACCTCAGCCTGTAATTGCGGAGCCCCTTTTCAGCTCTGTACATGCTGACACACACGTGTGCACCCCCCCACACACCCCACCCCGAGAAACACATTCCTGACTTACCCTTTAGCCAGCCAGCAGCCCCAAACCCTCTGAAACCTCCTGCAGAAGAGTTGACAGAGTTTTACCTCGTTACCCAGCGAGGGCGTTATATAACCGGCACCGTTTCCGCAGGCAGCGAGGATGCACCAGCCGCGCTTCCCGGCGCGCATCCCTCTCCTCCCCATCCCACACGGACACATCTCCTAACGGCAGCTGCCCCACGGTGAGCGAGGGAGGGGCAAGGTGGGCTTCGGGATACTCGTGAAAAGCAAAGCTAACAGCATCAAAGAAAGTTCAAAAGGTCCCTGACGTTTATTAAGAGGCATTGCTACCATGAAAGGACGTGGTGCGATGGTATAATGTTCCTTAGCCCGCTGAAAGCAGCTTGGCCTAGATTTTCTTGTACTGTTTGATGTGACCATTCATGCAAACAAGAGTAAAACTTTCTCTTTGCTTTTAATTAAGGAAAAAAAAAAGTGACACATACAAAAGACCTTTTTCTGCTCTCATCTGGGTCTTCTGGGCTACTATCAGATGGAGAATATGCAGGAATCGGCCCCATTGATTAAACTATTATTAGTGACAAACAAGCAGATGTGCTCAGCGAAAGACAATACAGAAAAAAAAAAAAAAAAGATTATTTTACCAAAGGCTCATTTAGTATTTCAGAAAAAAAAAAAGTGGAAATATTCTGGGCAGAAGTGAAGCACACAGAATTTTGATGTGCAGAAATAAATAAACATTATTGCTTTTGCTTTGTTCCCACATAAAAAACCCCAGCACCTTTCATAAGGGATTGTATTTCAAATCTCATCTTAAACAAAACGTGGCTTACAGTCAGTCATTCAGGAGGTCCTGGTGTCCATGAATCATTGGTGGACACAGTACACAGCCCACAAATGCATCAGGGCTGTAGCTTTAGGACAGACATAAAACTCTTATGTAAGCCATAATCCTCTCAGACTCCTTATTCAGTGTTTCAAGATCTGCTCCATAGGAGCCCGCTGGCATCCCAATGGCTTTTGGAAATGGGGAGACTCCAGTCGCAGCGCAATCCCCTCATCAACACCAGCGTTATCCTTGGTACTAGCTCCTAGGGTTTCGGAACACGGAGTATTTTGGCCCACTAATATTTTGGGCCACTGCAGAACTGGCGCTGTTGCTTTCTGTGCTGAGTGAATCACAAGGATTAATCTCCTGCAGAGTTCACTGAGGCTAATGATAATCAAGTTAAATTTACACTATATGAACAGAGTTTAATTAGGTACTGTTATACAACTCCTATTAATTACAGTGGTAATACCCTTATGAAATGCAGATGGGAGGGTGGGGCTGTGGTTGGAAGGGGCTTGTCTGCTCAGATGATTTTAGGAAAAAGCCACATTAAAATGCTCTGTGTGTACCTTTAGCTACCCGCCTCTGCCAGTGCTCAAGATGAAACAAAAATCTTAGAAAAAATTATAATCCTACAAAATGTAAATCTGGAAGATTAAAGACCTCCCACATACTGTGCTATCACCTTCTGTTTACAGAAATAAGCAAGAATACCATTTAAAATCCCAATGAAACAGAATCATTATTAGCTTGCTCTGCTCAAAATCCTACCCAAAAAAGCCCAAGGTGATAGAAGTCATTTATTTTGCACTGAGATATTAACTGGCTTGAAACCCAGGCAGGTCTTCCTAACATTATTAAAGTAAGTTTCTGTTTCCCTCCCCGAGTTTACCCCTCCAGATGACCTGTTGGGTCAGGGCAGATGCCAGCTTGTGCTTGGCACTGGCTTTGTACAGGCACAACCCCCCTGGGGCACAGACCCCACGTATGCCTCTCCGTGCCCCTGCCGCGGTTGCGGTGCTGCAGGAGGAGCCGTGGGGAGAAGCAGCTGACCTGAGCCGCTCGGGAGCTACTTCTGCTAGAAGCTGAGGTGTCCCCAGCACCATGGTGCAGCCGGGGGGACGCCAGATCACAAGCGCAGGAGCAGGCTCCAGCTTTCAGTGCTCAGTAGTAACTGCATTAGGAGACAGACTGCACAGCGTGACATTTCAAGCCTGAGACTAGGTCTTCACTTTTGGTAAACCTTGCCTAAGGAGTCCTATAGAAAGAGCAAAGCTTGTGCCATGTGGCTTCCATTTGGCATCTACTACATGTGTCAGTGGATGGCTTTAGGGAAACCTGCAGGAGACCATGTGCTGTTACCACTATTCATGTGGTAACACCAAAACTCTGGCCTTGCGCCCATATGGGCAAAGACACAGGTAAAGGTCTCTTCTTCATTAAGTAAATAAGCAACAGAGAGAGACTTATTGGCAAGAAGATGCTGTTCTTGGACACAGACACCTGTATGAGTCCCCTGCATCCAGGTTTCTCCTCCTCTGCGAATCCCTTGCTCAGTACATGCGTCCCAGGAGAAGCCCTGACACTTTGCCGTTGCTGCCACTGCTCACTATTTAATTAAAACGCCAAAAGATAGAAGACACATTTCCTTCTTCCCGTCATTTTTTTCACCCTCTTCACCAGACAGCAGCACTGGGAAAACTAGCCCACCTCAGCACTCCCACTTTGCACAAAACACATGTAAAAGCAGCAGTATGCTACAGTATGGTGTACTAGATATTAATTACCTCATCCTGACAGCTACATAATTACCTTGTTAAGTTTTGGCTACATACACTAAACAAAACCACCTCTTTACAAAAATGGCTGGAGGACACTGTCGCATGGGATCCAGGAGCAGAGTCCTTTTCATTAATCCCCTCTAGCTCCCACCGCATGGCTACAGACAGCTGAATTGTGCCAGAAGGAGCTATTTTGCCCACATGGCAATTCCACAGCAGCCTGCGTGCCCTCTGTGCGTGTACTCACATCCCCCTCTCTGTCCCTGGATGAACAGCTCTACTGGGGATGCACAGGAACAGCAGCAGGACAGGGAGATGATGGTTTCTTGGCAGCTCCTCGCTCTGTAGGCAGACTGAGATGATCTCCAGGCCAGCTATTTTTTCTCATGGTTCACAGACATCAGAAGATCCTGTCTCTCCCAGCCCTGGGAGTTCCTAGCCAAGAATACAAAAGGACCCTTGCTTTTTTGGAAGCACAGGGCTAGCAGAACATCTCAGTTCACTTTCTGGGATTTTTGCTTGATGTAGGCACAAAGGACTCACTGTTCCTCCTCATTCCTAACTTGTGCAGGGGCTGACTGCAAAGCACAGCTGGGACCAGGACATTCCCCACAAAGGAATGCCTTGAGCACCTCCAACATCCTCATCTCAGGACAGCAGCACTCTCAGAGGAGAGGCACCAGGCTTTGGCCAAGCCCTTCAGCCCTTTATCTGCTGTTGTGACACTTCTTGGGCCCTCAGCGCTGAGAACGGCACTTGTGCCACACTAACGGGAGTGCAGCAATGCTCCTGCAGCAAGGCTTTGATTTAGGAAGCAGAGCTGCTCAGCCCACTCTGCTCTTGTTGATGTAGTGACCTGGTTTTGTCAAGACTGTTTTTCTCCTTTTGTCTTTGATGTCGTTTTGGAAGGCAAGTCATGAGATTTTCATGGAGACACTGACTCAAAGTTGGACTAAAACAAAGCCAATCACAATACCATTGTAAATGGATGATGGTGCAGTTTCCCCTTGGAGGATTATTATACTATTTAGGGTTCTAGTACATTTATTTCCGCAGTTTAGTAATCACTTTCATGCTTCTCATTGGACTATACTCTAATCCATTTATATAATAATGTAACAAGTTACAAGGATTATCAGCTCATAATAAATATGCTCATCCCCTAAAGCATTTAAACAGCCCCTACACTTTGTAAAGATCTTGCTTAATGAGCAGACATCTAGAAAAGAATACTGCCTTATACAGAACACCACCAAACTGCAAACTATGCACTGCATAAGTTACTTCTCTGTGAAATTAGATATTTTTTGGCATACAGATACTATCTTCATCATAGTATACTTTTAAATTACTTTGAGCATAAGGGAGGGTTAGGAAGTCACAGAGATTGCCTTTCGCATTGGGAATTCATTTACCTTACGCTCTTAAGGTGCTCTTAAGTTTGGAATGATTTATTATATTTAATCCTCTGTCCATGCACAGGATTACGTCAAGCCAATAGATACTCATGAAATTCAAATTAAAGAAAGCTGCTGACACCAGCTAAGTGTAATCCACCCAAAAAACCCCACCTGACTTGCACTTAGGTCAGTTCTAGTGCTGAAGTGTCAGTGAAACATTGCTCACTAAAGCCACTCTCTGCCAGAGAAAGTTAAAAATCTCCCTTGGCCTACTGGCCTGTAGTCAGTCACAGTATTTTTCTACTTGCAGTTCTCTTGAGAAGGGATGGGAGAAACAAAGTATTACCTGTCAAACTATAAAAAGACATTCCCAATGTATTTTTCAGAATTGGCTGCCCAATGTATTTTTCAGAATTCTCTCACCTAAGTTTCTGCCGTTTGCTCCACTTGCAGCTAAAATCCTAATTGAGTTTGTAAGGCAGGAGCAAGAATTACCCCGAGAGCCTTCACTCTTGGAACTTCAACACACAGGTCAACTGCCCATTTCTGCTATGGTGGAATCTCTTCTTCCCCACATGCTGTGTCTGCCCAAAGTGTTTTCCTCCATTGGAAAATGTGAAGTTGATGGTCTATGTTTCTTTCATCTTTTATTCTTGCAGATGCATGTTCTGTTTAGCATCCTGTGGGATATAAGGCTTAACCCTTTGCTATTTATGACCCAGTCAATCATTTGCACTTCTGCAGGTTGATCTATCCAGAACTCCATTCACAGCAGCAAACTTGCTGTAGAGAGTTCCAGGAAATAGAAGTACTGCAAAATCTCCAAAACCCTTTTAACAAGAATCCACAGTCTGGCCTTAGCTGGAATCCTACAGAAAGAGGCATGTAGCTTTGGCCGATGGAGAGTATGGACATGCCTGTTCTGCAGCCTCTGTAATTACAGCCAGTCCCTCCCACCCCAGGAAATGGTGAAGGGAGGAGATAGTTACACGTTGAGTTTTTATTGTTTCTGGAAAATCAGTTATCTCAACAATCTTAGTTAAGTACCAGTCGTCCCAACATCTGCAAGGCAGTATTAAGTGTGCAGTGACCAAACAGAAAAAACCCTGATGTTCAGAGTATGGATTGCTTTCTGCAAAGCTGCTTCTTTTGCTTTACCTCTCCAGATTTCATGAGAAAGGAGTACCTGGAAAAACAGGGCTTGCTCTTGCTGAATAAGCAACAGTAGAGGGGGTAAAACACCTGTCCAGACTGAGAATTCACACCCCTGTCACTGTGTCGGCTTC